GTGCAGAGTCTTAACCACTGGACCACCAGGGAAGTCCACAATGCCACCTTTTAAGGCAGGGCTCTCAGATCCTCCCTTTGATGCTAGGGAATGAGATAGCAAGAAATCCCAGGTCTCCACGCCTTTAGCAAAATTCGTCCATACTCTGGACCCCGGCTCTGGGCTGGTGGTGCACAGGTTTTGTCCCAACAGAGGAGGGGGGTCCTTGAAGTCAGGGGACTCTGGCCCTTCCTATCACTCCCCCTCCCCCATGACCCTCCCAGTGTGTGGCCTGGGCTGACGTGTTTGTGGCAGAGGACAATTTCAGTTCCTTCTTGGGGCTGGCTGGTCCTGCCCACTTCTGCAGTGGGGCAGCCACTGTGGAAGGAAACTCTGCCTCAGACCCTATCTTGGACCACTGTCTTCCCCAGCAGGTGGCGAAGCGGGGGGGAAAGGATCAGTGGAAAGGGTTGGGAGCCCAAGGTCTGGATGCAAGATGGCGGGTCGTATGGGCACCTGCCTGGGAGGACTGGTTCAGGCCGAGTCACGTCCCAGTCACCCAGCACCTACTATGTGCCGGACACTGTGCCAGGAGCTGGAGATGCTGCAGTGAACAAAGCAGACAAAATTCCCTGCCCTCAAGGACCTACCTTCTCCTGGTGGAAGGAGGGGGTATCACAGGTTAGGCAGAGCCATCAGACCCAGGTATGCTACCTACAGTTGGCTTCTCCTGGTTCTTCTACCTCATGTACCTTCTCACCTCACCTCATTTCCTCAGCTTCCTGAGAAAAGCCCACAGGTTTCCCTGATCTCACCTCTCCTCTCGCTCTCTTTGCTCCAGCCACACTGGCCTCCTTGATATGTTTCTTGCCTCTGAGCATTTGCATTTGCTGTTCCCTCTGCCAGGAGTGCTTGTCCCTCTGGACATCTGCATGGCTTGTGCCCTTATTTCCTTCAGGTCTTTACTGAAAAGCCGCTTCTCCAGGAGGTCTTCCCTGGCCCCTCCTAGCTAAAATGGCAACCCCACCATCCTCATGCACAATTCATATGCTCTTCCCCTGCTTCATTTTTCTCCTTGACTCTTAACTTCACCTAATGTACGGTACAAATGTTGCTTTATATTTTCCCTCTCTGGTAAGGGAGGGCAGGAGCCCTTGTCTTTCATTTTTACCAGATAATTTATTGAGGTGAAACTTACACGACATAAAATTCACCATTTTAAAGTGAACAATTCAGTGGCATTTAATACTATGCTGTGCAACCATCACCTCTATCTAGTTCCAAAACATTTTCATTGCCCCCAAATATAACGCTGTACCCATTAACCAGTCACTTCCCATTCTCCCCTCCCCCTAGTCCATGGCAACAACCCATCTGCTTTCTGTCTCTATGGACTTATCTATTCCAGATAATTCATGCACATGGAATCACACAGCATATGGTCCTTTTGCAACTGGCTTCTTTCACTTAGCATCATGTTTTCAAGGTCCACCCACATTGTGGCATGCATCTGTAATCCATTCCTTTTTATGGCTGAGTAATATTCCATTGTATGGATGTACCATATTTTATTTATTCACTCCTCTGTTGATGGACATTTGGGTTGTTTCCACCTTTTGGCTACTGTGAACGGTGCTGCTATGAACATGAATGTACTTGTATGTCTTTTTAACTTGTATCCCTGGTGCCTCAGAAAGAGTAGTGCTCAATAAATACTGGTTGAAAGAATGACTGATTGGAGGAAACAACGGCATTTGACTCAGCAGGGTGGGGCTGGGGGGTCATATGCCTTCCCAGAAGGGGCGATGGCTGGGTGAAGGCTTGAAGCACCAGCCCTGGAAGGGGATCAACACGTGCAAAGGCCCAGAGCATGGTGCATTCTGGGAACAGAGAGAAGCAGCTGGCCAAAGCTGAGGGAGTGGGGATAGGAAACCATGCATGAGGAGGCTGGAGGGAGAGGTAGAGACCAGGACTATAGGGCCTTGTCACTCAAGGGGAGGAGTTTGGACTTGCTCCTGAGGCAGTAGGGAGCTATGGAAAGGCTCTGAGCAATGGAGTGCCATGACTGGATTTGACTTAAGTTTTACTAGGATGCCTCAGTGGAGTATGGATTCGGAGGGCACAGAGGTCAGAGTGACAGAAAGGAGACCTGAGAGAGGGCTATTGCCGACATCCTGCTGAGAGAGAGATGGTGGTAGCTTGGGATGGGGAAATGGTGGCCGAGATGGAGAAGTGACAGACTCGAGACATGGTTTGCAGGTAAATCATCAGGATTGGTAATGGTAGCCACAACCCAGTTCTAGTTGTCAAATTCCCCTTTCCAGTCCTTCTGAATCACTGTCCCTATTCACAGTAGCCAAAAGATGGAAACAACCTAATGTCCATTACAGATGAAAGGATAAGCCAAATATGGTACATCCACACAATGGAATACTATTCAATCATAAAGGAATGAAGTACTGATAAATGCAGTAACACTGATGAACCTTGAAAACATTATGCTAATTAAAAGGAGCCAGACGCAAAAGGCCACATATTGTATGATTCCAATTATATGAAATATCCAGAATAGATAAATCCATAAAGACAGAAAGTAGATTGGTGGTCGCCAGGGGCTGGCAAGAGGGGAGAATGGGCAGTGATTGCTAATGGATGTGGGGTTGTACTTTGGAGTGACAGACACGCTTTGGAACCAGGTAAAGCTGGTTGTTGTTCAAAACTGTGAATGTATCAAATGGTACTTGAATCGTTCATTTTATTTTATTTTTTGCTGGTGACTTTTAAAATTTGGGAGCTGTATCTTTTTTTCTTTATTTTCAGCTTTGTCGAGGTGTAATTGGCAAATAAAATTGTAAGGTATTTAAAGTATACACTGTGATGATTTGAAATACATACACATCATGAAAGGATTCCTCCCATCTAGTTAACTAACATCCATCACCTCCCATATTTGTGTGTGTGTGTGAGAACATGTAAATTCTACTCTCTCAGCAAATTTCAATCATACAATACAGTGTTATCAACTAGTCACCATGTTATACATTATGTTCACTTTAAAATGCTTAATTTTTTTAATGCTTAATTTTTTTAAATGAGAATTTCACCTCAATTAAAAAAATAAATGATAAGGACTCCAAAAAAGAAAAGATGCCAGGCTCTTGGTCTCAGATTTCTGCCTTTTTTGCCCCTGTCAACCCTTGCTTCCAGCATAAGGGGTTCTGAGAACCAAGACTCATAGACTTCTGGGAAATTTTCCCCACACCAAGGACCAAATGCCCATGTGCCTGACATTTTCCTTATCTGGCGAACACCCAGATTTGGGGAAATTCCAGTTTGCCTTTCCTGTCCAAGAAATTATGGCACCATCAGGTACAGCTGGATCCAGGGGCTCAGATGATATCAGATATCATCATGTATCTGTCTCTCCCTATGCCATGGGTCTTGGCCCTACTTTCCTCTGTCCTGGCTTCACTATCAGGCAGGCTCTAGAATTCAACCACTTCTCTCCACTTCCACTGCCCCCACTCTGCTCTTAGCCACTATCATCACTCACCTGGCCTACTGCAAGAGCCTCCTCCCTGGCCTCCTGGCCTCTACCCTTGCTCCCTACAGTCCATTCTCCCCACAGCAGCTAGGAACCGCATTGAACCTAAGACAGAGCATGTCCCTCCTTTGCTCAAAACCCTCCCATGACTCTCCATTCCTCTCAGAGTAAAAGCAAAATCTTTTCCACGATCCACAAGACTCTAAGCAACCTGGCTTTGCCAATCATCTCTAACCTCATTTCCTACTATTCTTCCACTTGGTCGATCGGCACCAGCTCCACTGGCCTCCTCCCTGTTCTACAAACATGCTCAGATGGTCCCACCTCAGGACCTTTGCACTTGCTGTTCCCTCTGCCTGGGACATCCTTCTCCCAGTTATGAACATGGCTCCCTCCCTCACTTCCTTCAGGTCTCTGCTCCTCAGAGAAGCTTTCTCTGACCACTTTGTCTAAAATTGCACTCACAGTCTTTCTACCCAAATACCACGGATTATAGTCTTCCTAGAGAGAATCACTTCTAGATCTCATCTTATTTGTTTGTTGATTGACTCAAGGACAGCACCTGGCACAGTGCCTGGCACACAAAGGTGCTTAGTGAGAGGCTGTAGAAATAGATCATCCTGGTCTGTCCTGTTTCTCTCCTGCTCTCAGGCCAGGACTGGACAGTGATTGAGTCCTGGAAGGTGGTGGGGACGAGGTAGCAAGAGCAGGAAGTAAAGACAGGTCTAGGGAGTTGGAACTGTGTTATTTTGGATAGAACAAAATGAACAGCAATTCCTGTTTATTGAGAGCATCTACTGTGTGCCATGCACTTTATATACTATGATTGTCTTTATTTGACAGATGAGGAAACAGAGGGCTAGAGAAGTGGATTGATTTCTTTAAGGCCTCACAGTGATTAAATGTGACTTACTGGGACTTGAACCCAAGCCCGCCCAACTCTAGAACTTTCCCTCTTCACCTGGGGCCAGGGGTAGGGTTGCCAGGCATCCTGTCCATATAGAACAGTCCTGTATTGACTTTGTCATGACGCCTGAAATGTCCTGTATTCATCTTTCTTCAATAAATCACACGTTTTCAGCAGAGTTATTTTTCAAATTTAGCGGGGCGTTAAATTTGCTAAATCTGGCAACCCTAGCCAGGGAGGAGCTCGAACTCCAAGCCTAGAGCTTGCTTCAGCGAGTGGTCTCGCCCAGGACCCCGATGGTTTTTCTGGACGAATTCGCCCCCTATCCCTACCCCTGAGAGCGCGGAGTCTCCGGGATCTAATCCCGAATTGGACACTGGGAATTCCTAAACCGGTTGCTGTTCCTTTAAGAGTGGTTTCGAGGGCGGGCCAACAGGGTGTGGCGAATCCGGGGGTGGGTCGGGGCCGGGTTGTCCAATCCGGGAGCGGGGGACGAAAGCGGGGGCGGATCCGGCTCGGGCTGGTTGGGAAGGGTTAAAGAGGCGAGTTTGTGGGTCGCCGACGGTCCGGCTGCCCCCGCCTCCTTCCGTCTGATCCGCGCTCTCCCGCGGCTGCGCCGGCTCGGCCGCCCGGGAGACAAAGCACCGCCGATGCCGCCGCCGCAACCGAGCAGTTCCCGGGCCATGGCCGGGCCGCTCCCCGGCTCCGCGTCTCCTGTCCTGCCACTGCTGCCGTCGCCCTAGTCCGCGCCGTGAGGTAAGGTCGGACTGGCGGGGGGACTTTCGGGCTGACCTGCGAGGGTATGCGGGACCGGGCTCGGGCCGCCATGGGCCTCGGGGTCCCCCAGTCGTCTGGAGAGATCTCTGCTGGGGATATGTCCATTTTGCGATTCCACGCCAGTGGTACTTTTCCCATCAGGGACCCCAGCTCCAGGAGGCGAACTTGGCCGATGACCCTCCAGCCCCATAAAAGACCTCCGCCGCTGCGGGAACTCTGAGGACTAAAGCTCCACTTGGCTCCCACATTCTGCCGTTGACCACCTCTTCCAGGGCTCTGGCTGTCCTTTAAGGAAAACACCACACACAAAAGGATAGAGGGCAGCTAGGAGCAATGGCCTGGGATGGCGGTCCTGGCTTCCTTGTGGCCCCTGCCCAGGGCAGCCCTGGACAGGAACTCTTCAGGGTTCTCAGTACATGTTTTTCTGCCTGGACCTGCCACACCCTCTCCAAACATGCCCACTGCTCGGGGACACTTGTGGCAGCTGGATCCAACTCCAGGACCTGTGGTTCTGGCTTCTTTCCTTGAAATGAGTGGCAAAATGCCATGCCTCAGTTTCCCCAGAGTCCTGGTTTCTGGGCAGTCTGTGTCCTTGGAGACCTGGAGCTAATTATTTGCCTTTTTAAAAAAAATATATAAATCTTTTTTTTAAATTTATTTATTTAAATTTATTTATTTATTTATGGCTGTGTTGGGTCTTCGTTTTTGTGCGAGGGCTTTCTCTAGTTGTGGCAAGCGGGGGCCACTCTTCATCGCGGTGCGCGGGCCTCTCACTATCGCTGCCTCTCTTGTTCTCTGCAGAGCACAGGCTCTAGACGCGCAGGCTCAGTAATTGTGGCTCACAGGCCCAGTTGCTCCGCGGCATGTGGGATCTTCCCAGACCAGGGCTCGAACCCGTGTCCCCTGCATTGGCAGGCAGATTCTCAACCACTGCGCCACCAGAGAAGCCCTGTTTGCCTTTTGACAGCTTCTTGATTGAGTGTTCACTACCTGTTCAGCATTTTGCAAAATTTCTCTTCAGGATTAATCTTTTCAATTCTGAGAGGGATGGATGTTAATGTAGATGAGGCTGTGTTCTCAAGGCCCATCCAGCCTGGACTGGAGGAGGCGAGTTGGCTCTGAGACCAGAGAGGGGCTGGGTTGGTCCCCGCCAGCTTCCTGCCTGGCCAGGGACTGTTGTATTAGCAGCAGTGCCCACAGCGGACTCTGAACTTCTTGGAAAAGTGTACGAGCAGGGCGAGATAAGCGGGGGACCAGGCCCTCCCGGAGGCTGGAGACTGTGCCCTTGCTGCTTCCTGCCCTCCCCTCCTTTCTTGCTGGGCTGGAGGAGGCAGGGCCATGGGCAGAGAGGGGTCCTGTGCTGGCTGGTGACCTTGGGCTCAGGGTGGGGTGGCTGCGTGGAGGGGAGCTGCTGAGTGTGAGGGAAATTGCTCTTCCTTTGGCCTTAATGGGTGGTGAGACTCCAAGATCAGCCCCTTTGGGCTGGTTGCCTAGAGCATGAGATTCTAGGCACAGAATTGTACCTTTGGGCAAGTTACTTAAGCTCTCTGTGTCTCAGTTTCCACATCCATGAATGTGGGATGGGGAAAAGACTCCTCATGGGGCTGTTGAAAGGTTTACGTAGGTAACTGTTTGGTTCATTTTACAGGTTTTTGAGCACCAACTACATGCCAGGCACTGGAATTCAGACAGAGAACCTCCGCCCTCCTAGAGCAGCAAAAATGACCCAGGTAATTTCCGGCGGAGGTATGGGAGAGTGACTAGGGGGGTCTCTTGTATACAGAGACCTCCTCCTCCTTGAGGAGGTGATGGTCAAGCTGAAACTGAAGGATGAGGAGTTGGCCATGTGAAGATACAGGGAAGGCATTCCAGGTAGCGGGAAGAGCCAGGGCAAAGGCCCTCAGGTGTTTGAGGAACACCAAGGAGGCCAGGGTGGCTGGAGCCGAGTGAGCAAGGGGGAAAGAAATAGGGGAAGGGAACTTGGAAGACATGGGGAAGAATGAATTTTATACTGAGAGAAGTAGGGAGCCATGGGAGGGTTTAAAGTAGGGGAGGGGTGTGATAGGGTTTAGTTTTAATAGGATCCCTCTGTGGGGGATGGGTCCTCTGGGGGGCCAGGGGAGGGGCCTAGGAAGGAGTTATGATCTTACCCTGAACAACACGGACAAGGAATGGGCAATGGTGGAGGAAGGGAGACCAATGAAGAAGCTACTGTAGCTGTCCAGGCGAGCCACGATGGGGGGCCTAGAATGGAGGTGGCAGTGAGCAGAGATGAGGCCACTGATTTGGAAGAGGTGGGGAGGGGATGAAGTGGACTTGATAAGTGATCAGATGTGGAGGTGGGGGGAAACCAAGGGCCTTTTGCCAAGACAGAGAGCACTGAGGGGAGCATTTGGAGAGGCTGAGAAGAATGTCATCAGCTACCACAGCTAAGCACGTACTATGCCTGGCACCGTGCTTAGGGCTTCTATGTAGCCATTGTGTCATCGTCACAACAACCCCGACTTAGGTGCTGTTATGATCCCATTTTACAGATGTGGAAGCAGAGGCCCAGAGAGGCTTAAAGCTTGCCCGGGGTCACACAGCCTGGACACTACAGAGCTGACATTTGAACCCAGAGAAGAGCAAGCCGAAACCAGAACTGAGCAGAGGGCAGGGAAGTGAGCAGTGGCCTGAGAGGTAGGAGGGAAATGGGGCAAGTAGGGTGGGTGGTTCCTGTGAGAAATGGGGCTGGGGTCCACATGGGAGTTGTTGGGGGGGGTAGGGAGGAATCCCTCCCATTTTCCAGAGAAACTGAGGCTCAGAGAGGGGAGGCCCATGTCTGAAGTCACACAGCTCAGGGACGTAGAGCAGAGATTAAACACCCTGAGTCTTCAGGGGTTGTGGCCTTGGTCAGGTCAGCTGCTAGGTCAGGACAGGCACTAAATCACGGCTCATGTTGCTTCTTCCAGGAAGCCTTTCTTGACTGCGTAGGCTGGTGAGATGAGGTGGATTGGGTTGGGAGCAATTGCCTCCTCCGCCCTGGGTCAGGTTGCCTGTCTGGGCCCCACTGTGGCTAGCTGCTCCCTGGAGAGGCACCACCCATATCTCATTACTCCAGGTCCTAAGCACTGCCCAGGTTGGGGAATGAACATTAACTGAGCACCCACTGCATTCCAGCGACTTTATATACTTTGCTTCTTGAACAATGTGGCCAATGTCCTATATAGAGTGAGATTTTGAAGCAGGAACACAAGGTACATTTGCAGAGTGGCCATGGAAAACCCAAAGGGAGGGTGTAGCCACCTTGGGGACCCATGTGCCACCTGAGTCCTACCTGGCCAGTGTTTCCCTCATCATATACTCCTTGGAGGAAAGTGGTAAAATCACTGTGGCCAAGTGCATAGAGTTAGATTCCTCTACTTCAAATGGGTGCACAATGCTCTCCCCCCAGCCCCTCCCTGTAAGTGTGGGCCAAGCCCTGGGCCCTTTATCTGGATTATTTCGTAACAGTCTTTTCTGCCACTGTGACTGCATCACCCACCTCTCCCCTTCCTCACTCTGCTCCAGCCTCACCAACCTCCTCAAGCACACTAGCAGGTTCCTACCTCAGGGCCTTGCACTTGCTATTCCCTCTGCTTGGCATGTCCCAGGGGCTCCCTCCCTCACCTCCTTCAGGTCTCTGCTCAAATGGCGCCTTCTCAGTACAACCTTTCTTGACACCGACCCCCCCCCTTTAAGATCAAACACTCCTTTTGTCCTTAACACTCCTTACCCCCTCCCTGTCTTATATTTTCCAGACCGCTTAAGACCATGTGGCCTTTATCTGTTAAAGTACAGATAATGTACTCTATCTGTTTGTTAATTGTCTGCTCCCTTCACCTGCCACTAGCACATCAGCACCAAGAGCACAGCAACCCTCTCCATCTTGTTTACTGCTAGTGCCTAGAACAGTGCCTGGAACACAGTAGGTGCTTAATAAATGTTTGATGAATGAAGTCCCTACAGTCCTCTGAAATAGGTTCTATTTATCCCTGTTTCATGGACCCGCAAATCAAAGCTAAGTTATGAAATCAGCAGAGCTGGAACCTGACCACAAAAGGTCAGCTGGTCTGGAACCTGGGGATGATGGAAACAGCAGCAGCTGAAATGAGGCCTGGGTTTGAATTTCAGCTCAGCCCAACTTGCTTTTTGGCCTTGGGCCAGTGACTAACCTCTCTGAACTTTGTTTCCCCGTCGGGGGGTAATGCTAGTCCCTGCCACCTAAGGTTTGTTTTGCGATTAAATGAGATAACACATATAAAATGCTTGGCATGCCCTAGGAATCCTCAACATTATTTGGGGGAGGTAGGACAGCAGGAGAGTTACCAGCCTGGCTTCTGGGGCCAGTCAGACCCGGGTTCGAGTCCTGGCCGTGCTCCTGAAGAGTTGTGTGAGTCTGGGCAGGCTGCTTCTAGTCCTTGAGCCTCAGTTTCCTCATCTGTGAAACGGGGGTGATGAGTGCTGTGGCAGCCGAGGGTGGTGTGAGATCACCCGAGGCGGTGGCTGCGTGAATAACTGCCACCCCGGTGGGGACAGGTCCCGAGCCCCCAGGCCCCGCCGCCATGAAGCTGAACGAGCGCAGCCTGGCCTTCTACGCCACCTGCGACGCCCCGGCCGACAACGCGGGCTTCCTGTACAAGAAGGGCGGCCGGCATGCGGCCTACCACCGCCGCTGGTTTGTGCTGCGCGGCAACATGCTCTTCTACTTCGAGGACGCGGCCAGCCGTGAGCCCGTGGGCGTCATCATCCTGGAGGGCTGCACTGTGGAGCTGGTGGAGGCGGCCGAGGAGTTCGCCTTCGCCGTGCGCTTCGCTGGGGCCCGGGCCCGCACCTACGTGCTGGCGGCCGAGAGCCAGGCCGCCATGGAGGGCTGGGTGAAGGCGCTGTCGCGGGCCAGCTTCGACTACCTGCGGTTGGTGGTGCGCGAGCTGGAGCGGCAGCTGGCAGCCGTGCGCGCAGGCGGCGGCCCAGCCCCGCCCCGCCGACCCCGCGCGCTCCCGCCCAAAGAGAACGGCTGTGCCGTGTGGAGCTCGGAGACGCCCGCCGCCCCCAGCCCCCGGCCCGGCCCCGAGCCCCCGCCACTGCCGCCCCGCCGGCGGGCCTCGGCGCCCAACGGGCCTCTCGACTCGGCCTCCTTCGCCCAGCTGCACGAGTGGTACGGGCAGGAGGTCAGGGCGCTGAGGGGCCAGTGGCTCCGCAGCCAGGCCCAGCCCTGAGGATGGGGCTGAGGGCCGGAACCAAGAGGAAGCGGTCAAGGCCAGCCTTGAGGCCAGCACTGGTCATGGTTCTGGTGCCACTCCAGCCCCAGGCCCTGCTCTGACAGGCCCAGCCCTGAGACACGGGGACCTGGTCCTGAGGGCGGTTGCAGTCGGCGTAAGGCCTGAGGTCCCTGCCTGGTCTTCTCTCGGGGACTCAGGCTCGGAGAAGATGCTGGGTTCTGAGGGGTGCTTTGGGACCTCTGTCATTCAGAGAAAGCCCAGCCTTGAGGAGGCCATCGTGCCTGATCCTCAGGAGAATCCAGGCCCTGGGTGATCCTCAAGCAGCCGGAGGGCTGGTTTTGTGGGAACTGTAGCCCCCAACCCAGCCCTGCAGGTGCCTCCATCGCCTGTCCCGAATCACCTAGCTGAGGCTTGTTGCTGGCAACAGGCATCCACTGGGGCAGCTGGGACCTGTGAGGATCTGTGGCCTGGAAGGCACATGCCCAGTCAGCGCTGGTCCAGAGGCTCCAGACTGGGCCTCACGCGGACAGGAGGCTGGGCTGGGCTACACCACACCTGGGCCTGACCCTGTGGCTCCAAGACCCGCCGGAGGAGCTGCCTGGCTGCCGCCTGCCTGCCTGCCCCCATAAACGTGGGCTTTCATGTGTGCCCAGCACCGTGGGATGGCCGGGTCCCCGGGGCTCCCGGCCCGGAGTGAGGCCGAGGCAGCACTTTCCCTTGGGGCCTCAGCCAGGCCTCGAGGTGGTGCTCCTGGGACCGTAGCGGCCCTCTGGCTTCGGGCCACATCTGTGCTCCTGTGGCAGCCCTCACGCTCTCCCAGCACTGCTTAGCCACATCCTCTGTCTTTTCCCAGAGCCAGCCTGGGGCGGGGCCTCTCGGGAGCTCGCCTGACCTCGTCCAGTCCTGGACTGGGCAGCTGTGGCCTGAGCTGACTTTCCAGCAGGTTCCCCTAGGGAGGAGGGGCCATGAGCTGATTCACGGCCCAGAAAGGGCCCAGGTGCCAATCTGACAGGGGCAAAGAAGCAGCTGCAAAGCCGTATTTGGCTTCCAGAACCCTCTCCCTCCATCACAGCCCCTCTCTGAGCTCACAGACTCAGCCCCCTTCTCGCCCACAATATTCCAAGAGGGAGACCAGGTTTCGCTTTGCTTCGAGACCAACTTGTTTTTCACTCACTACAGTGGTCGTTCTTCATCCAGGGAGAATCTCGGGGGGCTGGGACACCCCTGGCCCTCAAGCTGGGTCATGTTTACAGTCCTCAGTGCCCCCAAATTGGGACCCCCTGAGGACACCCCTGCCCTAATCTTTATTTCCCCTGAGGCTCCCTCTTGGTGACAGACAGACTCGGCCCTTAGCCGCTTCCTGCTGCCTTTGGAGACCTTGGACCTTGGGGAAGAATGGGGAGCTGTCTGTGTGTCTGCAATCACCAGCTCACTGCTGGCTCAGTTGACTGGAGCTTCAGGTTTAATTTAAATACTTAGGGTGTTTTTTTTCCTAGCAACAAAGCTTGGTGTTTTCACTGCTTTTGTTCCTTGTTGGCTGGTGGGAAGGGATAGGGTGCCTGGTTCTGGGTTTGGCCAGTGAGGGGGGGCGGGGATAGTTGGCACTGCCCCCAGGGAGAGGGCAAGGAGCCTTGGCTGGAGACACAGGAACCTCAAGAATCTCACCTGGTTCTTTGCCTTCTCCCTGGCAAGCCCTGCTCTCCTGCAGGTGCTCTGGGGGTCTTGGTACGCTTTCCATGCCCCTCTTCCCCAAGTCCTCAGTGGTGGGGATGGGGATGGCAGCTCTTGTCCACAGGCTTTGGGTCTCAGGGGGTGTTAGGAACTGCCCAGTGCCCATGTCCTGGCCAGACCTAGCTGGTGTGGTGAGGTGTTGGCCCCAGTCCTGGTGTAGGTTTACAAGCACTAAAGGTACAATCTCCTCCCACCCACCCCCAAAGCACAACCTGCGGTCAGGCTACCTCCAGAGATGGGCTGGGGAGAGATAATCAGGCAGCCTGGGAGAGGGATATAAAGGCTAAAATAAAATAAACAAAGGTTTGTCAAGTAATGGCTGGTTATATCATTCTTTTCCCCCATCAAAGTCCTGGATTGATTTGCCTGGCAGAGCCAGGGGCAGGCCCTACAAGAGAAGCGGCTAGAGTGTGCTGAGTGCTCCCTGATGCTCTGTCAGGCACATTCTTACAACCTCTATGGCAGATACTGGCCCCCTTTTACAGATGAGGAAACTGAGGCTCAGAGGGGTTAAGAAATCTTCCAAGTTCACACAGCTGAAAAGTGTCAGAGCAGGGACATAAACCTCTGGAATCCTGTGGGAAAAGGCAGAGTCTTTGAGAGGAATATGAGGAAATGGAGTCCCAAAGTTCCTTTTCAGAGGGGAGAGAAGGCAGGGGTAAAGATGAGGATAAAAAGTCAACTGTGGGCTGAAGGCCTGACAATTGGGAGGGATGCCAAAGGGAAAAGCCAAAATTTGGCTCTTCTCACTGATCAGTTCCTGGTGGCTGCCTCTGGGCCTGGAGTGAGGAGGATTCTGGCACCAATGCTAGTTCAGAGGGAAATATCCTGTGATTGATTAGTGATGTCTGCTGTGAGCAAAGGGCGGATGGTGGCAGTATTTATGATGTATATCTGTTATCTCAGCCTCAAGTGTGTTTGCTGGGCTAATGGAAGGTTTACAGATGGGAAGGGGCTGGCCCAAGGTCATCTAGTATGATAGACTAGGCCCTAGGTCCTCTTGATGTGGATCCAGAGCTTGGTCACATGTCTCTTGCCAGCCTGGAAAAATCATGCACATTCAGGAAAATGTGGCTTAGGATGAGCAACCTACAGTCCTTGGTCTGCAGAACAAGTTCAAAGAGTGAGAAAAATACCAAGGTCAGGGAATCACATTACTCGTGAGCAAACAGTACATGCTGAGTAATTCCTTCCACCTCTCCTGGGACCCCAGCTGATAGACGGGGTTGGGGAAGTGCCTCCCCACATAGGCTGAGTCAGGATGCTGCCCGTGGCATTTGTGACCGCGGCCACTGCAAGGCCTGAGGCACAGAATGGGGGAAATAGCCGGAGAGGCAGCCCCAAGAGGGAGGGTCACAGGTGAGCCCTCACCTGCCTGGCTTCTGAGGAATGAAACGGGGAGGGGTGACAAGTCAGTGTTGTGTGTCCACCTGCTAACAGTGTTTCCTCTTGACCCTGGGGAGGTGTTCGGGCCATGAGCCTGAGGAAGACCACAGCATCCCAGGAGTGTGACAAAGTTGAGGAAGTTGTCTTCACTCGAACAGTGTTTGGAGGATACTGTATGTGTTCAGAAGGAATATTCTGAGAAGCCACTTGGGGTAGGGGATGAGAACCTCAAGGAGGGCAATTAGGCCAGAAGTAATGGGCTCACTGCCCAACATCCAGCCACGCTAAATGATTAGTCAAATTCTGTCAGTTGTGCTACTCCCATTTGATATTCAGGGACTGGCTAAACTTGACCTGCTAAAGATGGCTGTGTGTTGGGGGTGGGTGAGATGAGTGAAGGGGGTCAACTGTATGGTGATGGATGACAACTAGATTTGTGGTGGTGGTCACTTTTAGTGTATATAGATGTCGAATTATTAATGCTGTGCACCTGAAACTCATATTAAAAAAAAGATATATACAGGGAATTCTCCAGTGGTCCAGGGGCTGGGACTCTGTGCGTTCAGTGCCGAGGGCCCGGGTTTGATCCCTGGTCAGGGAACTAGGATTCCCGCAAGCTGCAGCCAAAAAAAATATATATATATATGTGTCTATCTGTGCCTGACAGATAAGAGTAGAAGGGCATTCTTGCTTCTAAAAAGAGACACAATGAAGAGCTCTGAAGTAAGCTATGTCTGAAGCCTGGAGCCATGGTAGCCATCTTGTGATCCTGAAGTAGGCCATGTTAAGGAAAACATCCCCTGCTGAGTTAGGCACACACTGGAAAATATCCTTGACCTGCTGCATCAATGGACCTGAGAACCCGCCCTTCTTCTGGAAGTCTTGTTGTTTGAGGTAATAAATGTGTAAAGCTTCGAGGGGGACTTTTTTTGTTATTTGCAGTCAGAGGCTTCCTAACACATAAGCTTGAGTGACTGCAGCTGTTACCTTTAAGGAGCATGGCTCTGGGTAGCCAGCCACAGACAGGGCTGTTGTCAGCTCACTGGGGTGAAGGTTTGGGCTAGAGTGGGATTCTCTAGCACAGTAGAAGGGCCACTGTTTTCCTCATCCTCTCCATGGATGCCTTCCTCTCTCCTCTTCCGAGTGGGACAAATATTGAAAGAATAGCACTCTCTGCCTCCCCCACTTGTGGCTCAGTATCTTGTATGTTCCTCAACAGGGCTGTTTTGTCTCTACTCTGGCTAGATCTGGTGCCAACTGTCCACTCCCCCCTCACGCAATCCCTCCCCAGATCACCTTACCTCACCTTACACAAACTTTGTTATGGAAAAGGCCCTGCTACTTGTCCCAACTTCTAAAGTCGCAGCATTCAAAATAACTCCTCCAGGGCAGTAAAACAATAAACCGCTTAAGCCCAGCTGCAGGCTTCGCATTTTCTGATGAGGACTGGGCCCGTGAGCTGTTTTCCACTTAGGGTTTCAAAACAGTTGCCCGCTCCTGACAGAGGGGTCAGAGCTGCCTCGGCTTGGTCTCCCCGTGCTTGGGGCCACGGCTCTGTCTGTTCTTGCCAGGTGCAGCTCTGAAAGCACTTGGGCACCGGGGCTGCTGCCACTGCCCTCTCTTCATCGTTCAGGGGCACTATGGTCATTGTTTCTCTAGCTATGGGGCCAAGAAATCCTGGGGTGGCACAAGTAGGCCCCCTAGACTGCAGCTCCTTGAGAGCAGGGACAAGTCTGCCTCCCATGTGCCCCCAAGGCCTGGCACAGTGCCCGGCACAGGTATGTCAAAAATTGCCTCCCGTGCCCATTCAGCTCACGTGATTCTACCCTCCCTGACCACAGCTGCTTGGGCAGGAGTTGGTCCCGAGACACAAGCTGAGCCAATCAGGGTCCAGGGAATTTTGAATCAGCGGGGAGTGGGTGTTGGGGGGGTGTATGGATGGACAGACTAAGTTGGGTATGAGGCGGCCTTAGAGAGAGAACAAACGGCTCAAGATAGACTGCAGTGTTCCGAAGCCTGGTTGAATTTCCTGCCTTTGGGTTTCACAAGGTTTACTCTGGATCTTCAAATAAACGGTTTGCACATCTTTAAGTGGATCACAATTTCTTTCAACCCAACAGTTGCCGACTACACCAAGACACCCAGTGAACGTTTGTTCTGTACTCCTATGCTCTCCTGTTGCACCAGCATCCTTCGTAGGGCCTGGCACACACAGTGAGGCCAAACGAAGCAGAATGAATTAGAACTGCCTCCCATTTACTGAGACCTATGATGTCTGAGTCACCTGGTTGGGGTGGGGGGGATAGTTCTTAAAATACAGATTCCTGGGCTCTGGCTCCAGGAATTTTGGTCAGGAGGTTGGAGCAGGATCCAGGAATCTGCATTTTGAGTAGGAAACAAGGGATTTTAGAACCATAGCTTAAGAAATGCTCATTTAATCTTCAAGGAAACTTATAAGGCAGTGTGGTAGCCAGCCTCCCTGATGATCCTTGCCTCCTGGGGTACACACCCTTGTGAAGTCCCTTCCCACACTGAATAACGGCAAACCTGTGTAGCCAAGAGGATACTGTGGAAGCAACAGTGGGGCTTCCAAATCTAGGGTATAGAAGACACCACAGCCTCTGCCTTGCTCACTCTTAGCTGCCATGTTGTAAGGATGCTCAAGCAGCCCCATGGAGAGGGCCACTTGCAGAGGAACTGAAATGCCCAGCCAACAGCCAGCACCTGCTCATCCACCATCTAAGTGTGCCTTCTTGGAAGTGGGTTCTCCAGCCCCAGAACAGCCTTCAGATGACTGTAGCCATGGCTGACAGCTTAACTGTAACCTCATGAGAGACCAAGGAGCCAGAGCCACCCAGTCAAGCCACTCCCAAATTCCTGACCTACAGAGATTTTGAGATAAATGTTTATTGTTTTAAGCCACTAAGTTTGGGGTTGTTATACAGTAATAGACAACAAATACAGGTAGAATGGACAAATACATGTCCATTTTACAGATAAGGGAACTGAATCTCATTAAAGGGTCCTCAGGTTACCTAATAGTAGAGAGTCAAACCCAGGCCAGGATGAGTTCAAAGCTATTGTTTTTAATAACTATACCCCAGGGGGCTGGAGAAGGTCACAGACCATTAAAGAGATCAACTGTTTTATCCCTCTCATTGTTGGCCAAGGTAGTCAGGGTGGTCCCTGCCCCATCTCTACTGCTCTGGGGTTTTGAGAGGTGGCTCCAGCCTCCTGGGTACCTGCAAAGCAACACACGCCCTGTGCTTTAGCTATGGAGGTCTGTCCTTTAGAGTGATTTCTAGGATAGTCATGCCAGCGGTCATGGGCCAGTCAGCCAGGTGAGGTCTAGCTTTTTCATTCCCCAGGAGATGATGGGAGATGGGGCTGCTGGCCCGATGCGAGCAGCATAATTAGGAAGAAAAGGAGGGCAGGGGTGGGAAGCAAGGACCGCAGAAGCCTGAGGTCAGGGCCTGCACTGGGAGTGGGCCCGGCCACTCTCCTTTGGTCTGCCGTCTCCTCAGGCAGATGGAACCTCCTAACCTCCTGGAAGTGCAAGTCTGACCACAGCAAGCCCCTGCCTCATACCACCCATGGCTCCCCAGTGCCCTCAGGAGAAAGGCCTATTTCCCACCATGCCCCAGGGGGCTTCAGGATCTAGCCCTTGTCCCTCTTCCTCCCTGCACCTCAAATTCTAGCCTCCTTTGGATTTGTTTCCCCATGTCCTTGTCCCTGTCCCATGTCTTGCCAGCTATTCCTTCTGCTCTCCTCTTATGATTCTCTAAATCCTACTGTCTTTCAGGTGTCAGCTGAGATGCCTCCTCCTCCAGGAAGCCTTCCGGGATCCCCCTTATTCACACTCTTGTGGTGTTTCCACCACTGAAGCACTGAGCACACAGCAGGTACTCAATCTATACTTATTACCTGGATGAACAGTCGCCAAATTGCCCCCAGCTCAGCTCTCTCCTCCCTTCTGTTCCTTGATCTAAACCTGCCTCTGCCTGTAAGGCCTCCCCTGCCTTCTCATTCCTCTCTGGTCTCTCCACTCTTGCTCCCCCATGGTCCCTAGTTCAGAATTCCACATTTCTGTGTTTTTGCTGCATTTTCCACTCCAGATGGACAGCGACTGCAGACACAATGTCAACACCAAAGCTAATGGTCCAGAGGGAGCTTTGGTTCCCAGAGCCCAGGGGGCATCTACTTCTACAGGTTCTTAGGTGACTTGTGTGTGTCAGATGAGGCTTCCTGCTCCACTCCTGCCCCCACCTACAACCCGCGGCCACATCCTGAGGATTTCTGACTTCTGACCTCCAGAGCTGCAAACCAAGTGTCCAAAACGCCTGTCTTTGGCTTTACTTTGGAGCAATTAGTTACCCTAACCAAGGAGGAGTTCACTCATCATTTCATTCCCACCGCAAGGACGTGTGGAAAAACTGGGGTGATCAGAAGGTTTCCAGACAAAGAGGAAAAGGTCTGTCTTGGGATGCCACGTGCCCTTCGCTCACGGGTGAATAATGTTTAATGCCACTTAGGGAACTCTCTTGACATTATTGGTCAAGAAAAAACAAACCTCCTGCAGCTTGATACACAGAGAGACTCACCATCATGGGTTGAAGGAACCCAACCCCCACTCATGAAAACAGTACGGAACACTGAGCCCTTATGTGCCACACACTGTCTTATGTGTTTTACATGCATCATCATTCCTGATAATGACCCTTTGAGTTGGCTGCTGTGATACCCCCATTTTACAGATGGGGAGACTGAGGCCCTCGTTATACAGCTGGGAAAGGGGTGCTGCTGTGTTGGTCATCAGAAAGCCCCTCTTGGCACTTTTCCATCAGGAGTCTAGAGGCACCCGCCACTCACACACTCCACCGAGGTGGGCACAGCTTGTAAACTGGCTGGTCTTAGGGCCACAGCCTGTGGCCCCCGATTGGGGCAGGGCACAGTCTCAGCTCCTCAGATCTAGACCCCAGAGTCTAACCAGCTTCCACCTTCTGCAGTGAGTGGAATGTGTATTCCAATCCTTCCATCTTCCTTTGTTGGAGCCCACAGCACAGTCACCAACCGAGATGCCCACAGGACCTGGGCAGGTGGTACAGGTGCAGACAGAGGCAAATCATGGGCACATGTCCTAACGGGGAGGGCCACTCCCCAGCTACCTGCTGTCATGTTGGAATTTGGGCCCTGTGTGGCCAGATCTTACTGTTTTCCAGTGAAGCCAGTAATCAAGATTTTTAATGAAATTAGAACATTCTTTAACGCCATACACAAAAATAAACTCAAAATGGATTAAAGACCTAAATGTAAGACTGGATACTATAAAACTCTTAGAGAAAACACTCTTTGACATAATCGCAGCAGTATCTTTTTCGATTCGTCTCCTAGAGTAATGGAAATTAAAAAAAAAACAACAACAAATGGGACCAAATTAAACTCAAATTC